ATGTTCACTGCTCTCTGCATACATGAGCAGCCAGGGGTAATGGTTGGAAATAAATATAATGTTAGTGTTGACTTCAGACTAAACATTAGACAATTTATAATTTATGTTCGGTCCACCTTAACCTGCATGGTATAGGTTAAGTCGGAGTGTGTTTAAAACAACTGATGGAGAAGATTATGGATGTACCGCCATATTAACATGGAAAGGTTCACTTAAAGGGGGTATTCCACCATTTGGAAAAAAATAATAAATGCACCCTTCTTTATAAAAGAAACAAATGTGCATGTTTTATTTTGTTTCTTGCATAGGAGCCTGCAAAACATTGCAACTATGATGAGTGGATCGTGGGTGGAGTGCTCTGCCTTCTGCAGACTCTTCTTCCCATTCATGTCCATACCAAGGTATGGACATTCAGTAACAGGGACAGGAGGAAGTACTTGTTAATGGACTACAAGTGACATCACTGCACTTGCATCCCATTGAGAACTGCGATTTATGGGACTTGTAGTTTCTCCATTCACAGATCCTGTGGAAGGCGGGTGGGAAGGATGTGATTTGACATCCAGGTGGAATTGTCCTTCAAATAAACCCATCTTTTATAGAGCCTGTCTATTCGTGTAGTGCAGTATTTGAATTCAACTTTCTATTTTGCTTCTGCAGGTTCTCCAGAGCGGGCGGTAAAGAAATTTGAAGCAGAAGGGGTCAGCCATTACACCACGCTGCTGATGAGTGAAGATGGGGACACTTTATATGTGGGAGCACGGGAAGCCTTGTTCACTCTGAACAGCACAAACTTCATGTCCCACTCAATGGTAGGTTCATTTCTTTATACTTTCTCCAATAGTGTGACAGAGATCTGTCATGCCTCCTAGTAATGCTGTGTTCATTTACTCTTCCTAGCTGACGTGGGAAGCAGAAGAGCTTAAAAAGAAGGAGTGCACTTTTAAGGGGAAAGATGTTCAGGTATGTTCGGTATCTTCTAAAGCATATCACAATCACACTTCTAGATTTATACAACTAGGCAGTGCCGAGAGCATTGGTAACATGCACCAACTACAATTGGAAATGGTAGAGATGATTTCTGATTGGTTGCTATGGGATATGACACTCAGCATATCCTAATTGCTTTTTGTGCTGCATTGATAATTATTTATTAATGATTTGATTCTGATTTATTTCCCTTGAATGTTACAAGCTTGGATCACCCTTAATCTTTTTTTCAAAACAATGCGGAAAAGCTAATAAATTACATTTGAAACTATCATATATCTTCACCTGGCTTCAGCAAGCCTCTGCTTGTCGAGTTGTTTAGCGGTACTTTGCACAATGGTAGTAGAGTTAGACCGTTGGTGATTAGGACTGCACATATATGACACATCCATTATTCTGGTGGCCTCTGCATTTTCTTCTATGGTTGCTCATGTCGCTGCAATCAATGTTGAATTGCTTCCTGGAGCAATGGGTTTGCTATGGATACAGTGCAATTATAATATCAGTTCTCCAGGCTACCAAGTATGAACATAGGCCTGGTTATAGCCTGTGCTGCATCAGTTAATGATTTCTATGCTATCCTTTTATCTACCTTTTTTTAAACGCTGGAAAAAGCACATTTTGTATAAATACAAGAGCCATGTGTGTTCGTACTTGAATCTTGGTGGACTTTGTGTATTTCTTCCAAGATCTGTGAATATTCCAAAGTGAAATGTTGACTCTGTGTCAGAACTCCTGTAATAGAGACCAGTCGCTGCTGCTCTCTCTCCTTGTGCATGGTGATTGGTCTGGTCTCCGCCCCCTGCTGTAGATTTTTGCTGGCAGCCTGTAGTGGGTGGGGCCTGCTGGTTCCCTCCCACAACTCTGCTTTCTGCACAGTACAGCGATGATGTCGCTGCTAATTTTATATGGTAATACCTGGGTTTCCAAAGGCATCTGGTGCATACAAAGTGGATATATCTTTTGTGACTATTGAGGAATAGCTTTAAATTTAAAAATGTATCATTAATTAAATTAAAAAAATGTTGTGTGCAGAGATCAGCTTTAAAACAGAAGCTTATTGACTGAGAGTCACAGAGGGGCCAGATAACTAATTACTAAGTACAGATACCCTAAAAAGCATTGCCAGGACTTGCGCTGCTGTACAACATGCTGGGAAATGTCCTGTATGGTGCATTGTCCTCTAGGATCCAATACAAATAAATTGAATAGGATCCTTCCAACTGCATTGTAATGCATATGGCAATGAACATCGCTGCAATATGCATTCCCATATGCTTTATGGTGTGAACAAACCCTAAAACCACATTCTGGAGGAAGCAGCATTATTTTAGTTCTCATTTTTTTAGATGGACTATTTTTAGCCAATTCACTCTGGTTAATGAGGTTTGTTGGGACAGTCAGCTGCCATTCGTGGGAAAGAAGTGGTCTGCAGCACACCATAGAAAGGAGCGTGTTCCATAACCTATTTAAAAAAAAAATCATCTCAAAGTACAACCACACCTTAGTTACACAACTCATTGACAAAGTAACTTTGATTTTTTTTATTTGCACTGCACCCAACATTTTCCATGATAAGAATATGAACACAAGCTGAAATGTGTTGGTAGATGTGGTTACAGCTGAAAGTCTACAAATGTAATATGTCTGCATATCTAATAAATGTTCTGCATTACAAAGCAGCTACCAGAATGCTTCAACAGAAAGTGACCCTGTCTTGAAACAAACATTTGGTAGTGTTTTTATTTAAGAATCATCTTGGTAAATTCACCTTAATTGTTCCTGTATCTAGTTTCTTACCTCCTATTAGCTATGTACAAGTAAGCACTCTAAGCTGAAGCCTGTTTTATCATTTCAGAAAGATTGTCAGAACTATATTAAGATCCTTGTACAGTTGAACAGCACACACCTCTACACCTGTGGAACGTACGCCTTCAGCCCCAACTGCACCTACATTGTAAGTACCTTTTTCTTTATACCAATAACACAAAGCCCACACACCCTGCTCAGGCTGGGCTACTCACGATGCGGGTTACACATTTGGTTATATTTTGAAACCACGTGGGAGTAGCAAGTGTCCTAGAAATAACTTGGAGATTATTCTCTGTAATGTGCGTCAGAAAAGTAAAATGTGATGCGTTGTGTTGTTCAAACCTTGTTTACCCCTTGTTGTACAAACATCAATTAGCACTTCCATTTACACTATAAATATTAGACTCTTTTGCATCAGCCTTCTTAAGTAGCAGAAGTTGTACTTGGCAGGGTGAGACAGGGTGGGTGCCATTTAATTCCTGATTTCTAGTGTACTGCATGCACTAAATTGAAAAGGTGCTTCCATAGCTAAGAGGTGAGATTTGTAACCATAAGATGAGATGGATTGCAGACTAGTAAACTGGGCACATCCCCCAGTGGTGTATATAGCACTCCTCCATAGAAGAGTAAAGGATTGGCTCTGCACACAAACATTGTTCTAAGGTCTCATTTATACATGAGCTACAGCTTGTATAAGAGCAGTGTGTAAAGCAAGCATTTGAAAAGCATTTGCAGAGCTTCCAGCAAGCTTTGAGTAGCTTTGTTGAAGTGCAGTGACTAGGTGGTTAGCGCTTCTGCCTTGCAGCTCTAGGGATCCCAAGATCCAATTTCTAGTCAGGACACTATCTGCATGGAGTTTGAATGTTCTCTCTGTGCTTGCCTGGGTCTACCTCTGGGTACTCCCAGTTTCCTCCCACACTTCTAAGACATGCTGGAAGGTTAATTGCCTCCGGTTTAAAATCGACCCTAGTATGTGGGTCTATATATGCATGTGAGATAAGGACCTTAGAAGGACTCCTTGTGGGCAGATACTGATGTGATGTGCCATATGCAAAGCACTGCGTGCATTGTTGGTGCTATATAAATACCTATAATAAATACATTCGAAATTGAAAGCACCTTTCTGTTCCAATTTGGGGAAGTTGAAAACTGATCTTCATGGTAGTGTTGGCTGTGAACAGTGTTCTACAATCTGAAAGCCGTGTAAACAAGGAACTTAAGCTGGCCATACACCTATAGATTATCTGCAGATTTTCTATGGTCAGATGGAAAAAGTGCAACAGATTCCTCCATCTACGCTAAACTGTGTGGATGGAGGAATCTACCACTGGGCCAAGCTTCAGTATCTGACTCAGTCATACCAGGTGATGCTCCCAATATCGTCCATCACTTGGACTGTATCTGACCTCCAAATGGGTGACAACAGGAACCTCTGGGAGCTGGAAGTTTTTACTAGACTGTATGCAGCCAGTGGCTTTTGTATGAGTCACTGACCTGATACAAGTGTAAAGCTTTGGAGTTCTGGTTTCACATGCTGCATTTCATGTTAGTAACTCATAATAGATTGAAGTCGGAGAACTAGAATTAAAACCAGGCAACATTCACTTATAAAGGAGGTATCCCCATATCCCTCTGATTTTATAGGTTTCTTTTTAAATAGTCATTTTTATGCATTGGAGGTGTATGGAAAGAGAAAGGGCCATGATTGTACTTTAAAAAAAACAAATGCTCTCTTCTGCAAAGTTTGTTTTCCATTGTCTGTGGAACTTTTATTACACCAATAAGTGGATTCCGCCATTAAGCTCTCGTTTTGAGAAGCTGCAAGATCAGCTTACACATTTCCATGGTTGTTATATGCCATAGAGACCTCCGGGGTTGTATAACTTCATTTCCTAATGCAATATTTGTATGATTAGATTGCTTTGTTTGTACTATGAGGCCATTTTTTTTAAATTGTGAATAAACAAATGTGTCTTATGTATGTAGGCCATAGCCTGAAACTTGTTGTGTGGGTAGACGTAAGGTTACTGTTTGTTTCAGTGGCATCACAATTGTATCGATGTTCATCATCACCCAGCAAGTGTAACACCCAATGCTGGCAGTCCATGCCATGCTATCCATGTTAACACATAATTGTAAACTGGCTGCTTACTGCCATATGCAAGTCTTTTAACAATTTCCTTACCAGAAAACTGCTCTTAAATGGGTTAACTGACATCTGTGGAGAGCAATTGACAAAAGCATCTGCCTACCTGCACAATATTAACTATATCAATATTTATACAAATGCCAACTGCTCCTGAATCAAACTAAAAGTTGATTATGCACTGATGCCCAAGGGTGCCCATGCAAATGTGTAATCATTGTGAACAGGCACACATAAACACATTTCTGCCTGGCTCATTGCTTCCTGCGGTGAAACCAATTATAACAGCCCCCACCACAGGGAAACATTACATTGACACTCACATCTGTACTCATAGCCTGACTGGTGGATATATGCAATACTGCATGGCTATATATGTTAGATGTGTCAAGTAAATTCTGTGATGAGCGGATCTAGAAAGGACAATAGCTTCGGTTAGTGTTATTCCGATGGTATTCAGCCTGTTTTGAAACAGTCTGTCTGCCCATTTCAGCATATTTATGAATGCAATATAATGTAGAGGTGTTGCCTATGGTAATGAATTGAGACTTCCATTTTTCTACTGCAGACTAGACCCATTTAGTCCTGCTGTCTTGCCTGAAATTCAAGCAGTGTGCAGCCCCCTCATGTCAACCCCCCCCCCATTGACAATAGTCGATTTGTCAATCGAGCTGTGTTGAATGAGCTCATCTGAACAGTGACTGCAGCCAACCAGCTTCCATCGCTGTTCAGATAATCTGACAGCAACGATGTCAGAATACAATAGCACCGTGTGGAAGATTCCCCTCATACACACCGCTTAGCATGGATGGCCGTAGTCGAGCTCTCTGAACAAGTAAAAACTGTCAGTGTATGGCGAGCGTTACACAAGCCTCAAAATGCCAATAGGCCTAAATCACAGGAAAAAAAGCAATTAGGTAGTCTCGTGTAGTTAATCTACCGTGCAAGTATGGGGGCTGCCAGTGCTGCTCTGTCTGAAATTGCCATTTAACTGGCTGTTATGCTGATACTGTTTGCTGCAATACATGGAGTCTCTTATTCAGAACATGATAGCTGGGGAAAAGTCAGAAGCTTACATCTACTTGTTTTAAGGTCACCAATTCAGTGTATTGAAAAAGGAGGAATCAACATGATGACCAGGCTGCTAGGATATTTAGAAGGAGAAGTCAACAATGGCAGTCTTCATTTTTCTGATATGACAGGTTTCCCATGTTGTGCAAACCACACTGTCCACTCACTGCAGGAACTACAGAATATCCAGTCATGAATACATACTGGGTGTTTGTGTGTGTCTCAAATGGCTTTACAATGCTTACTGATGGAAGTCATAAACATACACGTGCCCCCATATGCAGTGCTATTCTTTTTGTTCCTCGCTCCCAGCAACAATCAAATCGCCGGGATCTCATATAGAGGAAATCTATTCACAAGCACTTCTAGTGCAGCAAATTTATTTTACAATGCAACAGGGTATAAAAGATACGACAATCCATTTCTCCCTACTTTTTGTGTGTGTATTAATCATATCCATGCTTCTCCAAAGGGTTTTTCATTTAATTTTTTTGGTCCCTATAAATATAAGGACACCATGATCATATTTATGTACAAAAACACTTCACATTATGTGATATTAATACATTTCTGCTGTGTTGCTCCAGCTGTGAGTGGAGTGTTCTCTTAGTCTTTCACAAATGTAGAAAGGCACAGAGCAAACCTGAGCAATGCATACTGGATGTCGCTGAGGTAATACTGTACCTATGTCCACATAAAGTCTGCAACCTTCTCCATTTCTGCTTTTATAAGGTGCAGTAGATATTAGCTGGAAAGCAGAAGCAGGGGAAGATGGCAGTCCAAATATTGACATAAGAGACCCAGTTATTTAGAGCATATTACCTCTGTGACCAAACATCACTGATTAGAAGGCTGCACATTAGGAATGATCTGATACCTGTTGATATAGAACATTCATGCATTTTGTTTTTATGGAACTTTGCCAGTTTTTATAATGGGAGGATGTTCATTGCATGTCAATCTGTATACAGTAACTGGTGAAGTGTATAGGTTCTTTCATCCTAAAGTACAGAACAATAGCTACAATTGGTGATCTAATGTCTCACAATGTAGAACATTTTGTTTACCTCTTGAAGTGTACATGTGGCCTCCAGAATGTGGGGAGGATGGCTGCAACATATTAGATACATTAAAACAGAGCGATATCCCTTAGAGCACCATGTGAGCGTTGAGATTACGTTTATAAATTTGGAAAGGGCTAAACCCCATTAGGGAGGTGATAATCTGGCTAACAAGCTATAAAGAAGAGGGGGAGAAAGATCTGCCACAATAATAGGTCCAGGAATGGGTACCTTTTTGTAAAGTGGATCTATAGTCCAAGAAAAAATTACTTTAGATCTACACCGTCTCTTGCTCTTGCCATACAAAAATAACAGATCTCCCCACTCCAGCCTCACATGGCTGCTGCCTTATTGACAATTCAACTTCTGCCGCCATGGCCCGTTCTGTGTGAGGCATGGACACTGATTGACTGCCACTATCTGAGCAGCCAGGAAATCAAATGGGTAAGTATTTGGCAGTGTAATCATTTCAACCATATGGTGGCAACAGCAAGGTTATGAATTAGACCTATTGTCAATTTTTTACTTTAGGTAAACTGATCACTAGCCCTCTGGAGCAACTGACACCAATCTACTGTTTTCCTTCCAGAAAATCAGTGATTTTACCTTTGAAAGGGATGCCACTGGGAAGATAATCACAGAAGATGGAAAAGGACGATGTCCTTTTGATCCTGAATATAAGTCATCAGCCATCATGGTCGGTAAGTAGCTCCTTCCAGGGTCTTCAGAGACCCATTTGGGCTAATTTTAAAAAGGTAAAGAGCAAATTGTTATCTTTCCTTGTTCTAAAAGATGAGCATAAATTGTGGTTGGTAGGAAATTCTACACCTCATCGCTACTCTTTTTAACCTGTTTTTGCCTGTTTTTATGTTTGTACTTATCATTCTGTTCTCCTCTCTTGACTGCCAGATGGGGACATGTATGGTGGCACTGTCAATAACTTTCAAGGGAACGAGCCCAGCATATACAAGAGCCAAGACAGCAAGATTATTCTGAAGACGGAGAACTCCTTGAACTGGCTCCAAGGTTGGCCTTTGATTTCCTCCTTTTGATAAGAATCTGTTTGGGCAGTGTGTCATGGCTTCTGATATCCATACGGTGGAGACTGTCTTTGAAGTATCTGCTACTTTCCAAAGCTACACATAGTTGGCTGCAAAGCTGAATCCATCTGAGGTTTTCCTGTAGCTCAAGCAGTGTGTGATGGTGTTATTATCTAGCATTTGGCTTATAAACTGGTTAATTTGCCACGTCCAGAAGGGGAAAGGCATTTTATTACATATAAAGATAATTATGCTGAATTGTTGTAATTTCTACTAAGTTAAACAGTGTGAGTGTTGTGTGATTATGCATGATGGCTTGTATCTGGTATGTAAATGAGCATTACTGGAGTATTAATCAGGCTGGGATGTGTGTTTGTGTTGCTACTATGATTAACTGTGCCAGGGACCTGCTATTAAACTCATTACCCATTGCTTTTGTCATTACAGATCCAGCTTTTGTTGGTTCAGCTCACATACAAGAGAGTCTACCCAAAGGGAACTCTATGGGGGATGATGATAAGATATATTTCTTTTTCACGGAGACAGGAAAAGAGCTTACTTTTTTTGAAAATACTTTAGTTTCACGGATTGCCCAAGTGTGCAAGGTGAGGATAAGATAAACATCCTTTTACTAACTCTTTAGTGGGTTTTTGGGTGGTTTGAAGCTACCTTCATCGAATCTGTTTTTCACAAGGCCATACAATGAGGTGCAGCTTCTGTGGGGCAACTTCCAGATCCAACATAAATTAGTTGTTTTAACTATGTGCTGCAAAGAGGAAAAGGTTTTCAGTCATCTACAATCAGAACTTGATTTTATAGGTTTGTAGTACATAGACTGATTAAAGTTGCTTTCCAGGAGGATACTACAGGTTACTGCACAACACTGCTCTCTCTGGTCCACCTATTTGAAAGTGATGGGTAGATGAATCTGGACTTTCATTGCAGATGGCATTTGTGACATGATTACTTCAATAAAGTATAGCAATATTCTTCATGTAGGGGCTGGCTAAAACCCAATAATGTTGCCATTATAACGCAGTGCCATAAATGAATAAGATAGAAGCATGGGAACTACCATTGTGACCTGTTTTTGGAGATAGAAGATAAAGATTTATCATCCCTATCCCTCCTTTACTACTTAGTGAATCATTGACCCAGAACAAGGATATAATGTGTCCTTGTGCATATGAGGTGTCCTTACACTTTGCTGTAGGCTTGATAAGGGTCAATAGCTTACTAAGTAATGAAGCTAGAGTTTTATTGGCAGCTATTGCTTGCATGTTTAAAACAACCCTGTGATAGTGATAGTGCCCCCCATATTCCTAGCATAACAGGTTCCCTTTACAGTGCACTTCAAAAATATGCTAAAATATCTTTTTAGAAAATGGCACAGAAAGAAGTGTGATGTTCTTACCAACAAAAGATTATAATACCAAATAAAAAAGAAAACCAAAATGCTGAAAGTCTTTCTCTTCCTGTAGGGCGATCTAGGTGGAGAGCGTGTATTGCAGAGGAAGTGGACCACGTTTCTGAAGGCTCAGCTCCTGTGCACTCGCAATGGAGATAACTTCCCCTTCAATGTGCTTCAGGATATGTTTGTGCTCACTCCAGGAGAGGACAATTGGGCCAATACCATCTTCTATGGGGTCTTTACCTCTCAGTGGTAAGCAGAAAGTGATTTGTATTCTTGGTGTGTGGAGCTGTGAGCACTTGTTGTCTTTGTCTTCACAGGTCCCTTGCTGTGACTTGACAGCTAGCAATGTTTCTTTGGGTTGTTTATTAGATTCCAATATTGTTGTCTAGTCTTCTGTCTTTTACTCAGTAATGGCCCTTTTTGTCCCAGTTTTGTGTTCTCACAGCGTGTATGTCTGACCATGTATAAAATGGGTTACTCGGGTTTAATGTAATGAAAAACAGATTGCTTAAATTAGGAACAGGTCATAGGCCTGTAGCATCTTTAAAATGCAAGTCTCTTTGGAAGCTGACAGCTCATTAGAGTGTATTGGACTGCGTCTCTTAAAGGAATCTACTTCTTTTCTCTCCAGGAGTAACGGAGGGGTGGGCAGCTCGGCTGTGTGTGCCTTCTCTATGCATGATGTTCAGAGGGCTTTCAATGGCCTCTATAAGGAAGTGAACCGTGAGTCTCAGCAGTGGAGTACATACACCCACTCTGTTCCCGAGCCACGACCTGGAGCTGTAAGTACTGCAACTGCCTGAATTCTGTGTAGCACAAAATGCAGTGTCTCTTGCGTTCAGGTGTTTCTCTTACAGTCCTCAGTTTTCTTGGCTATTATAAATCTAACGGCAATGCATGGAGTTATAAGTTGCTGCATGGAAAGCGGTACAGATGACATTTGTTAAAAAATAAATAAAAACCCCAAAAAACGAAATCTGCTAAATGTTGGAAGATTCCTACAACTTAACATGGATTTGATGTTAATACTACCCTCTAGTGGTAAAGTGCAGCAACTCTTTATAAGTTGGAGAGTGTATGTACTGTACCTCCGTGTAGTGTTTTTGGCTATACCTCTAAAGTTGCTTTATATATAATTGAGCAAATACTCCCCTGAGCTGCTTCTGATGGTCAATAAAATATGTGGCCTTCTTGCAAAGTGTAGTGCTTTTTGACTACATTTTATCACAATACCCCACTTTCTCTTTTATACTACAAGTGGAAAACCGTTGATACTAGGGGTGCACTGATACCGGTTTTTTGGTATCAAGTACGAGTACCAATATTTATTCTTTTTTTTTTTTTTACTCACCGATACCAAATACTGATACCGGAAGTACCATTAAGTAAGCCAGGCATCTTGTAATAACACCACCACCTGGCTTCCTGATTAACCGGGAAGCTGAACGGCATGTAAAGACTCACCACCCGGCTTCCCAATTAGCAGGGAAGCCGTATCCATGCTCCCTCATCACCAGGTGATGAGGAAGCAGGGAGCCATCTTTCTGATCAATCAGGAAGCTGGACACCGTGCAATGACTCGTTGCCCGACTTCCTGATTGGTCAAGAAGCTGGCCAATCAGGAAGCCAGGCAGCAAGGCATTACACGGCTCCTGGCTTCCTGATTGGCCAGAAAACCGGCTCCATGCTTCCTCGTCGTCAAGGGAGCATGAAGCTGGCTTTCTGGACAATCCTAACGCAGGGGGGCGGGTAATGACTCGTCCAGCTTCCTGATTGGTCAGGAAGCCTCCGATATCGGGAAGCCGGGCAGCGAGTCATTACACCTTGCCCGGCTTTTTGATTGGCCAGGGAGCCGGCTCCATGCTCCCTCGTCACCAAGTGAATCAGGAAGCCGGGCACCTTGTAATGACTCGCTGCCTGGCTTCCTGATACCGGAAGCTAAGGTATCAGGCTAGACATTGGAGCATTTGGGCGAGTACCCTCTAGTGGTAAAGTGGTTATTATTGCTGTCTGTCTCCATTAGGGACATATACCTTAACTCTCCGTCCTAATGAATGTGTGTCACAGGGACAAGTAGTGATAGAATCTCTCTCTGATGGAAGAGAGGGCCAGAAAAACTCATTTAGCAGACTGGGGAAGGTTCGGAACATATATCAGATATGTTTTTTAGTAATTCCAAACCTGGTGACATCCACGCCCTTTTATCTCCGTGTCACCTCCTGGTGTCCTCACCAATGTGAACATAGATAATAATAAAAACAGAGGTTGAGACTCCTACCCATTCTTTGAGAAAAAAAAAATTGGATTTGGACTTTTTTGGGCAGTAGTGTATTTCTTCATGTGGCTTGTATATCATGAAATTCCATCTAATAAAAGTTATTTTGGATTTACAACAGTGTATTACCAACAAGGCAAGAAGCATGAAAATCAACTCTTCACTTCAAATGCCTGACAGAGTGTTAAACTTCGTCAAAGATCATTTTCTGATGGACAGTCCAGTGCGGAGCCAGGCATTGCTCCTGCAGACACAAATGCGCTATCAGCAGATCAGTGTGCAAAGGGTGAAGGGCCTGAAGAGAACCTATGATGTCATGTTCTTGGGAACAGGTAAAAACCTTGAAGATTCCAGCTTTGTATCGCTCCTTTTTCAAAGCAAATATTACTTTTCCTATGGGGCAGAAGTGCATTTTACTGTGATTACTGATCTGTAGAAGACACATACATTTGCTATTTTGGACATTGTAATGGTTTATTATATAAAAACATAAAGTTGCTTTAAATCAATAGAAACCTTAGTTGCTGTAACTTATAACCACTAATTATAATCCACCTTGTGCTGATCAGACTTCAGTTCCTTATCAAATTAGTTTGTATATATGTTATTGTAAATATTCTGTTCTGTGGTCATTAAATCAAATAATGGTGCTGCATTATACCACAGTAGCCCTTTTTGGAACCTAAAATGTTTGATTATATTGGACAGTAGCTACTTAAAGCTTTAGTATCATGTTCCTGGTTATAATGTGTAAAATTTGGTGAGCTTCCCCGCTTTCTTATTCAAAAATCTGTCCTCCAAAAACACCCAGTAACTATTTTATTCAGATTCTTGCCTCTCAAAATTGAATGCCATTTGTACTGAACAATAGCCATAACTTAATTTGCTGTGCATTCTGAGCTAAGCTAACTGTTATCTTAGGTCCATTAAATAGGGAGCAGGGATTTTAGAATTGTGGATCTTGTTTCTAATATTTGTGCCTTGATCTCTAGATGACGGAAGGCTGCACAAAGCTGTCAATGTAAATAGAAAAGTGTACATCATTGAGGAGATTCAGCTGTTCCCTGATACTGACTCGGTGCAGGAACTGCTGCTTGATCACAGCAAGGTAAGAACATTTATCAATGTCACCGCTTGATTCATGAATGTATTACATACATCATGCTGTTATGGGTTATTTGGTCAAATGAATATAAACAATACAATGATACATCTCATCAATGCAGCTTCATAGAAGTCAGATATGTGATGCCACAGGCCACTTTTTTTTTTTAACTTTTCGTTAGCCATGCTGGGGAAAGCAAGAGGATACTTTTAAAGTCCGGCTTTATAGCTGCTTATACTTGGCTTCCCTTCGCTCCTTCTTCGCACTGTTCTCCTGGGAAAGCAAAGTGACATACCCCATAATGTTGGGTATAAGAGAGCACGTCACTAACTCTCCTTCCTTAAATGTGACAGCAGTGGTGCTTGGCATTTGACCATTCCGACACCCAGCACTGTTATATGAGGGCAGGGAGAGGGTACTCAGCTCTTTGTAAGCTTCAAGTTACAAATTGTAACTCACACAGGGTTTCTTCTCCTAACTGCCATGGGCAGAGACGAAGGTAAAATAAGTATAAGCAGTTGGGGGGGGCAGCATTAAAGTGAACCTGTTGCTTTGCTCTGCGCTTTAAAGCACACCTGGAGCTATTCTGGTCACAGGCCACTGTTGCCTGCATTGCCGTCAGGCACTGGGCACAGTTACTTTTTTTTAAAATAGGACCCCGCATACTGGACACTGTAATAGAGATAAAACGAATAAGTGTCTTCCAAGGTGCCGTGTAGTGAACCCCTTCTTGCCTTGATATTGGCTATAGAAGAAGTCCTGTCCAGAGAAGTGCAGTTAGGACTTGTGTTGTGAGAATGTAGAATGCTAATGATTACATTTATTTTGTTGACTTAAGGGCCTGGTGTACGCTTCATCGCGATCCATGGTGATACAAATGCCAGTTTCTAACTGCAGCATGTACGCAACCTGCGGAGAGTGTGTCCTATCACGTGATCCCTACTGTGCGTGGAGCAGGAAGGGCTGTCGTAGTGTCCGTCACCATGTACACGAATCAAACTCCCAGTGAGTTCTCAATTTCAACATGTCACTGTTCTTTGGTCTGGCTCCAAACCTAGCAGTTTGTCAAGCTTGGTTGTGTTTCTGTGTTTCAGGCACTGGCTCCAGGACATAGAAAATGCAGATTCAAATCTCTGCCAGCAACTGAATGATACCGGACCTGGAGGACGAGTTAACATAGTAGATGGTGAGGCTCTTAAACTCTGTTATATTTTGATAATGGAAGGGTTGAGAACCCATTTGTAAACGGTCACAACAAGTAAATTGGGGGAAATCGGGCTGATAGGTCACAAATAAATTAGTTCTGTATTGGTTTTCTCATATTTGTAGAATTGCTTAGGTATGTTTATAGAACACAGCTAAGCACTAGGGGCATCTAATCTGACTACTAAATATAACTTGAGTGCAGTTACAGCAGAACATTTATGTGAAAAACATTGTATAGGATCCCCATGCCTGTAACCGTTATACACTTATAGAAGACTGAAGAATAAATGATTTGATGTGTGTGGCTATGGTATTCTAAGCATATCATGATTTCTCAGTGGTTAGGGCAGGCAATGCCGTAGCACCCTTCCCACTGAGTGCTTTAAACTTAAAACAAGCCATATTATTCTGATTTAAGGAGATCAGCTATGAAGGTTAGCAGCTTCTGAAACAACTCCTGAGACAAAAGTGTTCTGATGCTATACACAGATCTGCGATTAGAAACCTATAGTGTAGACCCATGGAATGCCAGTAAGTGAAAACCGTGACACTGAAGAAACATGGCAGCTGTCATTGCTGTCCTCTCTCTTTTACATATGATGGGTGTCTGACTTTTATGCTAACACTCTTGAATACTTCCAATCAGTGACCAGGAACATAGTATGTGCTCAAAGACTTCTGGTTGTAATCTGAATTTTTTTTTTTTATCTACATACTTGTTCTGGAGCAGAGACTCAAACTGTTAAAGCCATAGGATCAGCATAACAGCTAGCAACTAGTATTTTCTGATGTCAACAATGGCATCCTCATATTTCTCTCAAAAAATGGTTTACTTTGAAACTGAACAGATGCCTAAATTCAGGCGGTTGTTCATGTTTCATGAAAGCTTTCTAGCTACACATGATGGGGATCCTTTCTAAGTTACTACATGGAGGAATCTGAATCATTGGCGGGGTGTGAATATTTTGTGGGAAACCTTTTAATGTGCCCATGTGCACTGGTGTACAGTCATCTAGCACTAGCCATTTCAACAAATTATGGCAATAACTGGGCAGTGCATCTGGTTTAATTATTAGACATCAGTGCAGGGAACTAGTTTTAGTAGTTAGGTAAAATAAAGTGACTTCATAATGGATGTTCTATATCTATTTTTTTTCTATTCACAGACAAACCACAGTGTCAAAAGATTGTGCTCCAACCAAATAATACTACCACTCTGTCGTGCAATTTGCTGTCCAACTTGGCAACTCGTCAATGGCTCCACAATGGCAAAGTCATTGATTCCACTTATTTTGTTCTAGAATCAGGAGATCTGATCCTTGTCAATAGCCCTGACCGTCTGGGAAGATATGAATGCTGGTCAGTAGAATATGGCTTTAGGAAATTAATGGCTATGTACTGCATGGAGACCGATGGTGCCATAAAGGCAACTACCCCAAGGCCTCCAACTGAAATTACCTTCAAGAAAATTAGCCCTATTGATAAGGTTGTAAACTCTTCCAAATTTGTGTCTGTGTCAGAGAGCCAAACAGCTAAACTTTTAGGAAAATCCTACTGGAATGAATTTTTAGTCATGACTGTCCTTTTTGTGGTGGTTTTGGTCTTTATGACACTGTTTATATTGTATAAAAATCGGAGTGGAATGAAGTCCATCCTGAAGCCAGTAAAACATGAGCCAGCCAAGAAGATCCGTAGTAATGGCAAACAGACAGAGAGTTTGCCTTTGAATGGAACAAGTGCTCCATTGCCACAAGCTGACCATAAAGGCTATCAGACTCTGAATGACAATTACATTATCAATACTCCCGTTCACGATCCTTTGGTTGCTAGCAAAATTGTGTCAGAGTCGGAAAAAAGGCCACTTAATGTTAAGGACACAGTTGTAGAGGTCACTCCAGTAGGCCCAAAAGCACGGGTACGACTGGGATCTGTAATACGAGATTCTGTGGTATGAGAGACTACTACATAGGGAGATGATCCTTCCCATAACTACAATGCCAAAAGGGACCACAAGTATTTTATGTGTGTGCATGCAAGTTGGATTATGACAATGGTAAACTTTTAATTGTCAACCCAGGCTACCTATATTCATGGATAGCTTCTGTGTGCAGAGAGCATACAAGTCTACATTGTGGAATGATAAGATGTCATCTGTTACATTGCCATGACTGCCAGGCTATGAAGGGGACTTGCGTTTGGAAAAGTATATAAATATATACATACTTGGTCTAAAGGTAGCATATTTCCATTTCACCTGCCATTGTATAATTCATGCGTATGGACCATATATTTTTTTTTTTTGTTAGATTGCACACAATGATAACTTGCTGGTATCATCCCAGCACTATGGCCGGTCAGCAAGACCAGATCTGGAGTAAAGGAGTAGACCACACAAAGAACAAGATGTTCCCAAAAAGTCTGTTGAATTTGGGAAAATATTGTGGTACCAGTAAATAGTCTGTACATCGCTGTCTGGATAAATAAAAAAAAAAAGAATGGCACAAATGGAGCTATGACCATTGCACCAATATGAACATGCATATTTTCTACAAAAAGAAGCACAATTGAAATGTGGCACAATACTGAAGCCATGGTTAGTAATGGACAGAATTTAGCTATTAGCCGGTGGCAATACTCTACACGACAACGCCTCACCAAGCAGGAGAACAAGTAGTCGACAATTAAGATCTGTCAGATGATCTCATGCTTTCTCTCTCTCCTCTTCATTGATCATTTTGATAAACATACTGTTGGCATTCTTTTATAGGGAGATTTTTTTTTTTTTTATAATGAGTATTTTATTTTTTTCTCCTTCTTCTGGTGTTTATTTTTTTGATAATGTGAATCCAGGAACTGGTGTTTGACGCCTACAACCAGCTATAATCTGCCTAAGTGTAAAAGGTACACAAGTGTATCTTAATGTGTGAATCATTTACTGAAGAAAGCGAAGACCATGTTATGTAAATAATGTACAAGGACCTTTTTTTTTGTTGTGTTTGTATTTGGTATGTTTATTTCCATTTGTTTTCATAAATGTGTATATAGGATATGTTTAAAAGGGAGTATGTCCTGACATTGGCTAAAAGCAGTTTTGTATACGTTATATGGTACAATCCCCATTTGCCTGTCACGCCTTAGAACTGCTAGTGCCTTCATCATACGAACACCTGACAAGTCATGCACAAATGACATACTATGTACTTTACTCCTTTCTGGAATAACATATCCTGGGGGAAAGAAAAATCAGGATTATTGCCCATAGCAGTGAGTCGGTTTGGCTTTCCTTTTTCTGTCCTGCACTAGAAGAATAAATAGGTCTGACTGGCTGTGATGGGCAAGATTTTTTTGTTTTCTTCACTGTTATCTTTATATACAAAAGCCCAATTGTGGGGTTTTTTCCATATCTGATAACAGACAATGACTGTGTGGTGTTTGAAAGTAGATATTGCATACTGTAAGCACACAAACTTTACATGGCTAGAGTATCACATATCTGATTTACTGCTGTTAACTCTAAGCAGTATTTAAAATGATCATGGTAATCCTCCGACTACTATGTACAGTATAAAGTAGGTTCTCAGGTTGTCAGAAACCCATGCTGCTATCAGCCTGGTACAGACCCAGATGGAGCCATTCTTTGGGCTGTGTTGATAGGGCTTATACAAAAGCTTTGTAGTAATTAATAGTAACCAATCAAAAATTAGCTTTTTAGATAGCCCAATGAAAACTGGGTTAATAGACTACCACCTTTTGCAGTATGGAGACTGATGTTCATTTCACTAGGCGTATTAACATCCCACATGTAGTGAAAAGACATGGAGAATGTCCATGATACCCTGTAGATCTTCTCAGTGAACGAGTGATGAGATTTCCTATGCACACTTAGAACAACTTATCCTATGGCAGCGTTGTTTTCTTTTAAATACCCCGTGAAGCTTCTCTGAAGTACCCTTTGACATGTGTACGTTTATTACAAGAGCCTTTTTTTGTGGATAAATGTTTTCAAAACCATTCTGTTTGTTCACCAGTGAAAAATATTTATTCAGATCTATTTCACAGGCGATGTATTATTTGCAAAAAAAATCTAAACTGTTTGAAATGTTCGGTACAATCAGCAGTGCCCCACGGGGATACATGTGGCTGAGAACCTAAGGGAACACTTCACAAAGGTATCTACAGGTCACCCACCAACAGTGCTAGTCGCTCATTACTATAAATGGACACATGAAGGTCAGCCAGTGTGGGAACCTACCAATCCACAACAATATGGTGAGGGTAACGTTAGCAGAACCTATCTTGGGAAAACTACTTTAGAACAATGTACTTTTTATCTTCGAATGTACAGTATTAAGTTATGATCTAAAGCACATTATCAAAACCTGTGTAAGTGAACTCTTGTAGCAAAAAACGAAAAGGTACTTGGTGTCCTAGACACAAATATTCAATTACTAACTGGTGTGTAAATGTTCTACAAAACTGTGAGCCAGACAAAAGGGTGTAGTGTGTTCAGTAAGGTGACACTAGGCTCTGCATGGCAGGGATTCATTTACTCAAAGTAAAAAGGACCACTAGAGCTCAGATACAACCCGCACCTGTGCTAGTTAAAGGACTATACCGTGCACCTTATCATAATACATGCTTGGAAGCTCCCCATCTGTTGTAAATATCGAAGTTCAGCTTTTTTGTGCCAAACACTTAGTCTGTGGTGTAGGTGTGTCCTGGTGTACAAAGTCTGCTTTTTCCTGTTGTTGTTTGCAGTATATGTACAATTTTCATTTTTTATTACAGCACTTTATTTTTAATAAAATGTTTAAAAGTTACAATGTTTTGTGTTTTTTTTGGTGTGTTTTAGAAAATGCATCTAAGTGTGGTTTTCCTCTGTGAGAGACAGTCTTTATAAAGGTGCCCATACACTGCTCGATTCTCGTACGAGAATCGCGTGAAATCCCGCGATCGTACGAGAATCGAGCAGTGTGAACGAAGACGTGTGACCGTTTCTACTGTACGGTTGCGCGTCTTTTGTCTAAGGAGCACGCTAGAAAACCAGCCGAAAATCGTACGATTTTTCGGCTGGTTTGAACGGTGCTCGGGAGACAAATGCCGAACGGGCCGGTGTGCGCACGCACACACTGCCCGTTCAGCATTGCGGTCATCGGAATCCCGCCCCTCAGGGGGGCGGCTTGCGATGATCGAGAGTACGATCTGCCTGTCCAAGATGGGCAGATCGTACGTTTTTTTAAATTACTTTACAACCATCGCAAGACTACGGTCTTGCGATGGTTGTAAAGTGTATGGCCACCTTAAGGCTGGCCATACACCTGTCAATTTCTTTCATTCAACCTGTGGGCTTAATGGAAGAAATGAATGTGATTCTTCCATCAACACAAACCGCGTGTCGATTGAGGAATTGCTGTTGTTTGCATTGTATTCTGACAGGTGCTGTCGGAATACCCTGATCAGAGCAGGCAGCTCATTGGCTGCTGTCTCTGATCGCACGAAGATTATCCAGCCAGCTCCTTCGATCAGCTGATCGAGGAATGCCGGCTGAAAGGGAACCGACAGCCCCACACACTGCGAATTTCGGCCAGTGTATGGGCACCTTTTAGAGAGCCACATGGTTTGTACCAATTGTAAGTTTGGCCCTGGCAGATTGTCTAAAGCTGGCCATACACTTATAGATTATCTGCAGATTTTCTATGGTTAGATGTAAAAAATGCAACAGATTCCTCCATCTACGCTAAACTGTGTGGATGGAAGAATCTGCAGCTGGGCCAAGCTTCAGTATCTTGCTAGTCGGCCCCGCTGGCTGTCAAAATACCTGAACAATCTGATTGGATGCAGGCACTGATTTGAGAGCCAGCGGGGCCAACTAGCAAGATCCTAAGCCCTTGTTAACACCTGAACGTTTTGTAGCGCGTTCTACGCTCGACGAACGCTCTACAAAACACTCAAACATCTAAATCCCATTGTATTCAATGGGTCTGGTTCACACCTTGGCGTATTTCAGCCCGTCCCTAACGCGATCCAAGATGGCCCACGCCTGAAAAGGTACATGTACTACTTTGGGCCGTTTTTGTTGCACGTTTCCATTGGGATACAGCCAAGTAGCCCTCGGAAACGCGTTTGTTGCACGATTTTTTTACCGCTAATCGCGGTAAAAAAACCGCGCGACAGACGCGCATATGCAATACGCCTAGGTGTGAACCAGGGCTAAAGCTTGGCCCAGTGGGAGATTCCTCCATCCACACAGTTTAGCGTAGATGGAGGAACCCTTTGCACTTTTTCCATCTGACCATAGAAAATCTGCAGATAATCTCTAGGTGTATGGCCAGCTTAAAGGCATTATCTGAAAGAGTATGGAGCACTGGACAGTTTGCAGTGTAGATTTTGGTAATGTCCTTTTGAAATTTTAACAAAGTTACGTAAAGTGTATTTATAACTTGGTTTTGATAGAAAATCTTTATTTTACTAATAAGTATTTATTACAGGGTGCACCCATGACATTCATTTTACAAAGCACGCTGCCTGCATGCTTGGATGCACCTTATGCATGACTCACAAATGGTCTTGCACATTGTGCCACCGTGCTAGAAGGATCACTGCTACATATGTAGCTTATTTCATATTGATCAAATTAGAAAAAAATAAATAAAATCTGCACAAATGTCCTTTAATAACAAACCTTCTTTCACTGCTGCTTCAGTAACCCCTTCATGACCACAATATGACTTGAAAAGATCCGATTGCAGAATGCCGCCTGCCATGAGAATGTTAATTAAAGTGCAACTGAAGCCAAAACATTTTTTGGGATCTGATCTTTTCCTCATTATTGACTTACTATGCCTTTGCATGGTGTCTCTGCAAAGAGGTGACCATCTTGGTAGAGGCGGGGCTTTGCTTCGCTCAGAAACTCTAACAAGGAGAACAGTGAGCAGCACAGTAGTGGCATCACCAAATATCCTGAGACTAGCAGTCACAGGCAGCAGTGCCTTAGATCTCACACTGCAGATATACAGCTATTAGGGTGTTGATGCAGGCATGCCTAGGCACCTCAAATAACCGGAAGTGCTATTCTGGACCAATTCAAAACAAAGGGTCATTTTTTCAGGGCACTGCTAG